CATTTAGAAAGGCTTTAAAAATTCAGAAAGGCTTTAAAAATTAGGAAAAAAATTAGAAAAGCATTTAGAAAGGCTTTAAAAATTCCCCTGGGTGTCAGGGCTGGGATGATTAAAGTCTCCATTGGGAAAGGGTAGGACAGGGAGTCAGGCCGTCGATTATTACTGATAGCTGCTTTCATTTTGCATTGTTTTCAGTTTTAGGCCACCCAGAGTAACACTGTTCGAATGTTGGGTGGCCATATATGTTTTTAAAAAAAATGAAAAATGAGTAAAATGTCCACATACATATCACTTTCTATGGTGCAGCTCTTTAAGTTCCTGCTGTCCAATGGGAAAAAGGCATTCTTCATTTTAAGCATTCTGCTTTCCTTTCCAGGAATGACTGAAAAGTTCTGAGCCTATATCAACAGGAATGGCGTGGGAACTGGAAGCTTTCCAGTTAGATCCAAACCCATCTCTATTTATACAGGGTAGAAAACACACAAACCAGAATATGTTTCAAAATGTCAACTTTTAATAATTGCTTTTGTTGCCATGTTATGTCATGAGTTATAAAGGAGCTAGGGAAAAAAAAGCGTGAATTTCCAGGAGGGGTTGGGTTTATCTTAAAAACATCCTAATTGATCACATAAATACATCTGGCACTTTATAGGATTCATCTGGACACAAGACCATGTGAAAACCCTCAAGGCAACCATGTGAGCGATCCAATCCTGATTCAAGGCCCCTCTTAACAATATTTATGTTCAGAATGTCCAGATGAATGGAGCAAAAACATCAACATGCCTGCAAATCTTCTTGGTGTCAATAATTTCTACTTTAATTGTTCAACAGGCAAATGGCTAATGCTAAAAGCACTTCAAAAACTAAAATACAAACAAGAGGAATAAAAACTTACAAAAATTCTTCGGATCTCCCAATGTTATGCTCAAGTACATGCTATTCTTTTTAAAAAATACATAAGCTAAGTGGATATGTGGTGACAAGATTAAACAAGAGGCCATTCTACTGGATATCTGTACATCAATGATACTCGTTTAGCTTATAAAAATAATAATTCCTGGAACTCATCTTTCTACGCACACAGGACAGTGCTTAAATCAAGATGAGGTTAAGTACATGATTTAGAGGCAAGACGTAGCAGGAGCAAAGATTAAAAAGAAGAAAAACACGAACATTGCTTAGCAGGAACAAGGCTTCTGGCTCTGGTAACTGCAAAAATGAGAATTCTAAGTTATTCAGTCTTCAGAAATGCCATTGAAACTGATTATCCAAGAGCTTTACTCAAAAGTGCCTAAACTACCACAAGTGTTGCATTGCCTGAAGCCAAAGTGCTTGAATAGTTAATATTTGCTTCAACATCATATGTCACTGGAAGCGTTGCTAAGTTGCTTATTGAGGCAAGACCAGTTTCATACAAGAAAAGGGAACATTTTTAACTTTCAAGATGAAACCTACAAAACTCTATGCAGGTGCAGATGAACTGGTTGTCTTTAGTTGTCTCTTGACATGAAACCCTAAATCCATGGATTTTCCCCCAATATTATAAAAAAAGGACTAGCTTGAATGGAAGCTACTTGAGAATCATATCCACTACAACTAAGTGAGAAAAGGATTTCTGTGGTTATATGTAAACTTGTCATAAACTTTTTCAACAGGACTCAGAACAGGGTGTCAAGCTGAGACAGAGCAGCCATTTATGTAAAGGTCAGACCGGCTTCGTTGTACACTTTGAAGACCTTCTCAATCGCATTGACGTAGGCCGCTGTTCTCAGATCTAGACCAAGGTTGTACTTCATGGCGGTACGCATGATTTGCTACAGAAAAAAGAAATAGTACAATGATGTCTCCCAACACATATGCTTTTCTAAACAGGTGTGCATGCAGAGAAACCACTGAACGATCGTTAAGTTGTAGCTTCATATGTATTTTCTAAATGGCTTGAGGCAATCTGCAAAGTTACAAATCAAGCTTGGAGACCCAATGATCCTGGGAATGTTATTGGACTCCCACTGCTATCAGCCTTAGCTAAAACAGCCAAGGTTCAGAGGATTGGAGCCGTCACTGAGTGATATCTAGAGGGTTATGCGTTATGAATGACAAACTAAACATTTTTTGTTGCTTTGTTCAAAGACCTATTCATCCCAGCCTGATTTTTTTTTAAAAAAATGGGGGAATTCAAAACACGGCTGGTTGAGAAACTGCACAAAAGTAATGACACAGTTAAGGATAATTTCCAATGGCCAGCCCGTCACAGGACAGCAACTAAGAGAAATCTCACTTTCCTCTGATTAAGCTGAAACTTTAACAGTGCAATTAAATATATGTGTATACTGAGCTCCGTTGTTTTAGTAAAACTTTCTCATAGGCAGATGCCTATGATGTTACTAGAAATCCTACCCTCTCATCTCTAAATACAGAAACCCTAACGGCTAATTACAATACGAATAATAATTCCTACCATTTGCTTTTCATTTATCTTCCTACGATAAGGCACAAATGCAAGAATAGCCCACAGACAGGAAAACACCAATGACTTTGACCTCCTGGCCCTCTGTCCGCCGCATTTAATGAGTTCACGGCTGTGCAATACGTACCCTAGCAGAACGCTCCATGGTGTAAGCCAAGCCCGAATGCACAATGTCTTTTTCAGAGGCACCCTATATGGAAAAGAACTGCCATCAACGTTAAGTCTAAAGTCACCAGCAAGGGGCTGGTTTTGCTTAAGAGGCCGAATTCCTATGTCACTTCTCTGCATAGCGTTTTAACGGTTGACTAGAAAAGGGAATTGGAAGTTACTTGAAAATTAGTGTCCATTAAAAAAAAAAAAAATTAGGTTGGTAACGGTTTATACCTACCAAGCTAAAAATATCTGAATATGCAATGTATACTTTGCATACTGGAACTAATGCAGACTATTCTAACAATATTAAGTTTAGACTGCACTGGTGACCAAAATTCCAGATCTCCAGTCAGAACTGTAATATTTGAATGTTAGACAAAACTCTAATTGGTCAGTTTATTCTTGGTATCATAAACACTGCCTGAGCCAAAACTTCAACCCGACAGAGCTAAAGTGCGGCATTTTAGTTTACTTCCCCATATTTCCCTGTTGCTTTTGTTGTTGCATGACGCAGAGTCTGCCCAGGCCTACATATTAATAAAACAAAAAATTGCAGGAGCTACTTACAGATATTCTATCCTGGAATTCTGCAGTAGGCACAACTGGAATACTTCCCCCGTGTTTCCCAAACTTTCTTTCCAAGCTCTCCTGAACTGACACTAGGAGAAAGAAAACAGCCAGTTAAAACTCCTAGCTGAGGGAACTGGATGATCAAAAGACTGTTATTCTCCGAGTAGAATAAATTTTCTTTTTTAATGTGCTGCCAAGATACATCTACTTCCACTTAAAGGTGAGATTTCCTCTAAGTTCACTAACCTGCCAAAAATTTCAGCAATGCAATGCCAAAAACCATCAGTATAGTTTTAGCTTCTTGTAGTAAAACAAACAGGCACGTGTGTGTCAAGTACAGAACTTGTTGAACGTACTTAGCAGATGGTAGTTTGAGTCCCTTTCGTATTTGAAGGTCAAGCGACCATAGCTGACATGATTCAAGTTCTTCAACCACTCGAAGTAAGATACAGTCACACCTCCAGCATTTAAATAAAGGTCCTGTGGAAAGAGTGTGTCAGGAAGTGAAGAATAAGTAGACAAGTTAAGCCACCTTCAGATAGGTTAATAAAGATTGGAAAGATAGATTTAACAGGAAGACCACCAGTAAATTCTTCAGGCATACAGTGTGTCTAAAATGAAAGCGCCATTGACTTAAAAGTAAACTAACAACTACTATAATCGATAAACAATTATCAACAGCTAACAGATACGTCAAATTTGTGTTTGGCTCCAAGTGAGGCCAAAGAGCTAAACAAAGAGTAAAAGAATTCAAGGTGCCAAAGGAAAGTGAGGAGACATCACTCTGCAAAGAGTAGCAGAAAGGAATAAGTAACTGCCTTTGCATCCTGTTCAGCAGCCCAGAAACCAGTTTCATGGTTTCAGGTTATGCATTTTTACTCCCACCCAATTAGCTGAATTCATACAACATTCTAGGTTAGCCAATTAACCATGACAGCTTCTGGATACACGGGATGGAATTGTCAGGAATCAAGATGAACGGCCGGTTCCATCCCCAATCGGAGCAGCTAAGGAAATTTGGGGGAGGCAAGCAAGCAAGGAGATCATCAAGATCCAAAGGTCCTTCCTCTGCTGATGGAACTTTATGGGGGCTGAGGATGGCTGAGGAAGACTCCCTTCCTGCTCCCAAACTAACCCATGGCAAGGAGGAAGAGGGGGTACAACAGAACTTTATTCCTTGTAGACCAAGACCAAGGGCTTGCTTGGCCTCAGAGGTATGTTGCTGAGGATGAGGCAAAAACAATGTCATCTCCTACATCCATTTTTCTTATCCACTCAGCCATGTGCAGACACCCTTCATAACCCATTTGCTACTGATAGAATTATTGGCTAGTTACATTCCTGAAGACAAACAGGTTAAAATCTGTTCTGTTTTTAAAAATCCCAACAGAATAGTTATGTTTAAAAAAATCAGAAGTATCTTTATGAATCAAATTAACATTATCTTTCACCTCAGACAACAACTATCAAAAGAGCCTTACTGGAATAACCATGATATTCCGTTCCAAGAATATCTTATCAGCTTCAGGGGTCGTGGGTCCATTAGCACCTTCAGCAATTATCTGGAAAGAACATCAAAGCATCACTGTGAAGCACAGGAAATCTTTAACTGAGGCTGTGAAATAAGCCGGTGGAGAACAAAGTCTCAGCTGGCAGAGCCAGCCTCAAGCCCAACCTGTCCATCTTACTTTTGCTCGGACTTTGTGGGCGTTGGCTTTTGTTAACTGTTTTTCGCTGGCAGCTGGGATGAGGATGTCACAATCGGCTTCAAGAATGTGGCAGTCCAGAGCTTGGGCTTTTGGATAGGTGAGAATGGATCCATGTTGCTGTTGAGAGACACGACGGGAATTATTATGCTTTAGTTTCTTAAGCCACAATCTTAATTTTCTTAACCAACATCATACTCTTGGATGAAGATTCTATATTCTTCAAAACCCACACAAAAACTCCAACTCCTGCGATACTTGCCCAAGAGGAGGCTACAATAATATATATAAGGTATCCAGTTCAAGGCTCTAAGCCAGCCATGCTTTTTTCAGAGGGAGGTTTTCTATTTTGCTTACCTTCCCATTTTTTTCTTTTTCTGTCCCTCCTTGTCAGACAGCATCCTACTTGGGAGCTTCTTCCTCTTTTGATATTCTCTTCTAAAGGTCTAATGTTTGGCTGCCTCACTCAAGCTAATCTAATACATTCTTTCCAACATGAAATCATGCTTGTTTTATTTACCACAAAAACTTCCAGTACAGCTATCAAGACGACTGCTAAGCTAATGTAACAGAATAATAAGTACTGCTAAACCATTTTGCATACCAACTTATAATCTTCCAACTCCTTTGGGTCAAGTCCATCAGGATTCCAGATAGCACCATCCTTTTCTCCAATAGCTACACATTTTGCACCATAGCGATGAAGATACCTCATAGAATGCAAACCTACATTGCCAAACCCCTGTAAAAAAATGAAAATAAGTTTTTATTTAGCCTTGCAAATGTTTACTTTCCTTGGTGCTGCTTTATGAAGCACATCAACTTCCTAAAGACGAGAAAAGCTTTGGAATCAGAAGCACCCTGTTCATATACATCCAGGGGAAAACAGATGGGCCTCTATGCGATTGATGGACAGCCGAGTACAATGACTGGACTGACATGGCACAACCCCCCATCTACTTATTACTTGTAATCATCATTTGGCTCAAATTCATTATGTGTTTAATGAGAGATAAATGTTCTTCCAATATTCTATATGTTTTTTAAAAAGCAAAGCTTGACTCTTAGTGACTGACAGGGATACATCCTTGCCATTTTCTTGTCTTGATATGCAAACAGTTTACCACTGCCATCTCTCAGAATGTGTTTTCCTGTTTTCTCTTTTGACTTTCTAGTCTAGGGTACAGCCCTAGACCACTTGATCATGAAATAAATTACAGAATTTCTGTAGACGACATAGAACAGTATTCCTCCAGCTTCGGGGAACACAGGTCAAGCACATATACTCCTGATTTAAAGTTTGTGTGGATCACATATGTGAGTAACAGAGCAGAGCACACAGTACACAGACCAAAGACACTAACTTTCTCGCTTGAAGAATTAAAGAACAAAGGGTATAAATGTCTTATCTCAAGGCTATATGTGTCTTAAGGCAACATTTCTCCCTTTCCTCCCCAATGTGATTCTTTCAAGGACAGTACCTGGATGGCAAAAGTTTTATCTCCAAATCCTGGAGTCATTCCCAAGATGCTCATATAGGATGCCTCATTAATGAAATTCTCAATCCCATGAAAGACACCACGACCTGTGGCAGAGATGCGGCCATGGATGCCACCCTGGCTGATGGGTTTCCCCGTCACACAGGCATGGGCATTAATATCCTGGAAGATAAGGAAGGAAGTTCATGCGGAAAGTTATGGGCAGAGTTTCTCAAAATACCTATCCTAGAACATGTTAATGACTCCTCTGCTGAGTTTTATCCTTACTGGGTTTCAGTACCCAAAAACTGTCATATTTACATCACAGCCTATGTGAGAAATAACTTTCTATACTGCATTAATTGACTTAGTTAGGACAAAAGAAAACATGAAAAGATAACTCTTCCTTCAGCCTTTCTTTGTAAAATCATTTCTTCTCCAGGTTTTATTTACATGATTCTTCAAAACAGTGGGGGTTACTTCACTGTACCCTTTCTGGAACCAAATCCAAAAGTAGTTGGGTAATTTCTACTTTTGCACATGTCTGCATTCTTCAAAGAATGACGAACTGCAAATCACTAGAAATACGAAGCCACTATCAGAATCAGAAGTCTCTTATCACGTGATTCAACTTTACACACTAAGTCACAAATTATAAATCATATTCTGATTTAGGAGTAGTGGGTTCACACATTGTGCTATGTGTTTCCTCACCCTGGCTGCCACTAATGCAGGAACATGAGGAGTCCATTTGCAATTTTACCAATGTTCTCAGTATTTCTGAATATATAACCAGATTCCAGATGGACAGATTCAGGAATCCATTAAATAAACAGCCAGCTGCAGGCTTCTCTGTTGTCAGTGAAGAGGCTCCCTCCCTCGCTGGAGTGCAGGGCCATTAGAAAGGAAACAGAAAAATCTCTGCTCCAAAGTACGCAGGGATAAATCGCTTCTAAATGGGAAACAGTATAATTGCTCAAATCCCTTCTCAAGAAGTCTTGCTAAACAGACTCCTTATGCTTGGAAACAATCTTTTTCATTTTTTGGCAACTGCCAAAAAGATTGACACTGAACTTCATAAATTAACCTCATATTCTATTTGTTTTACATCTGTTGTTCTTCTTTCGTTTACATTTGATGGGGATGCCTTCAAAATGTAAATGTTCTTCCTCTTGGCTGGTCTTAGTTTTAGGACGTTTGACTCACTGCTTACAACTATTTCCTTTGGCTGATGATTCATATGAGCATTTACACACCAGACTTTTTAAGTTCTCATTTCATTTGTAGAAAGTGTATAATGCTGTTGTCATAGTCCCCATATGCGCCATACAGCTCTGCCAAGTACTCTGCTCAACCATGCTGAGCCTTGCAATCTGAGGCTTAACCACAGAGAGGAGACTGCATGGCCTAACCTCTGTGAAACAGATGCTGCAAATGTGTCTATATGGTCTGCAAGCCTCTGTGCCCCCCACAAGTCTCTGGCATACTATATTTTGGGGGTAAACATCACACCTACAACTGCATCAGTTTCTGGGCCAGTCTTAGTTTATTTGTGGGCTCAGTTCTTATTTCCTTGTCTGCTGTAGGCAGCATGCCACATACCTTGGAGTAGTGATGAAACAACAAACAACCATCTTAAGCTAACAAGCTTTCAATCAGAACATCCTATAATACTTGTTTTATCAACTCTTGTCTATTAGTAGCTTTTGGGCTTCATAAAAACCTTTGATAAAGCAAATCTCAATGCAGATGAGATCTGGCACTTTAAACACGAGTTGCATCACACACAAGTAATTCTTACAAAGAAAATTCACTGGATTTTAAATTCATGAACTGCACCAGTCACGCTGAGCAATAAATTAATTCCTTTAGGCAATATACTATACACTAAAGCATTCCCAGTGATAATATAAAATAGGAGCTTTCAGTGAATCCCCTATTACATAAGATCCAAGACCAAGAAGTTGCCCATTTTTAACAATTTGCTACCCAGAGAAAATATGTCAGGGCACTAAGGGAGGAAAACCTCTCTTAACAAATCCTGCATTGTAAAACAAAAAAGGGAAAAAGTTGTTTAGAAGCACCGCTTTACTGACTAGAATACTAAAGAGCAGATTATTTCCTCCTCTCAGCAATGCGCAGAGGATAATAAATGTTCAAAGACTTTGCACATGCACCATCTGACACTTAGCTGAAACTTCATGGCCTTTCAATCGAGACTGATTTTTGCTAAAGTAAGTATGCATCTAATATAAAATAACATGAGAGAAGTCTGTGGAGTCAGTCAAGAGGCTGTTCAGAAAACTGTTTCCATGGTCACCCCAAACAAGTAAAATGTTAACTCGGATGAACCGAAGTGGAATGATTCAATTGCTTGCTCATGCAAGAATAATTAAAAGAATTCTGAAAGGAAGGAAGCCTCTTGGTGGCCAAAACGTAGTCTCCAATTCTCTCCTGCCCTCTGGTTTAGGAGGGTTAGGTACAAAACTGAATTCAGAAGGAAAGCAACCCCGCACGGCACTTCGAAAATATTATTTTCCTAGTCAACGATACGGTGGTCAAAATCAGAAAGCAGAGCTTTAAATTACTGTTAAACATTTACTATTTTTAGAATTGGGCATGGCCACATTTTGTGGCTATTACAGCACATGTATAATTATGGTGACATGAATTGTTTTCATAGTTTTATGTCAGTTTGTCAACAGCCAGTGGCATATAAACACTTAAAAAAACCCAACAACCTCAACAACCACCAGTTACACTGCCATGAGCTACAGGCAGATTATGGGAGAGAATTAGACTGGCCCTCTCAAAGTCCTAATATCATCTAATCTCAAGGGGCAACAAATGCCAAAGACCCATCTTTGATGACATGCCAAGGTCTCTTCCTCAATGTGCATCTTTATCACTTTATGGCTCCAATCCACAGAGAAACTAGCAGACAATGGAAGAGAATCCAATCAACTCTTTGAACTTGAGTTGATAGATTGTATTAACTGGTATGAGGCTGTGGAGCACAGCTGTGTCGGGAGAAAAAGGATGCAACAAGGGTGTGTCCTACTTTATGGCAGGTTATAAAGCAAAATAATAATAATAATAATAATAATAATAATAATAATTAATTATTATTATTATTATTATTATTCCAGCAGCCCAGAAATTAACTGATCTGCAAGCTTCCAGGAGCAGGTGCTGTCATAGAGAGGAAGCTATCAGGTCCCCTGCGTTAGGTGTCCCTACTCCATCAGCTAGCACATCGCCTGGGGTGGCAGCAGAGACACAAATATGTGGCTGTAAATTGAGTGCATTTGCTAATCCATCTGCCATGTTGGAGGAGAGGCTCTATATGGGGTTGAGAGTTAAAACTAGCTGGGCTCATCATTCTGGAGACACAGTTAAAGCTGAAGGACGATTCCCGTATTATGATTATAAATGGGGAATTTAATAGCCATGTATAAAGCAGGCAAGCTTTTTCTAGGTATACACATTTCCAATTAAGACTATTTACTTGGGAAAAGGCACTCATTAAACAGCGCAACTTACAGACATATAGACTGTTCATATCATGCAACCCTTTGCATTATGTTGCTTGTGCAAAGAACTCAATCTGTTCAGGTGGTGCTAAAGTTCTAGGTTTATGTTAGGCTGTGTGCAACTTGAAGAACATGTTGTTTAAGGCCATTCCGCCACAACTGAATCTTGTGCTTTTGTTCGGAACTTACATAGTGTCCTATGGTATTGGCGTAGGTGTCTGCAATCCACGACATCTCCCTCTCACCAGTGCTCATGTCAGGAGCTGGCACATCAACACCAGGCCCTGTTCGACACAACCAGGAGCAAAGAGGGAACATCATTAGACACAAACCACTTCTATGCATGGAAACCAGAAGAACTGGCTGTGATCTGCAGTGATTTCGCTTACAGTTATGTTATGCTTACACTGCAAAGCCATTAGAGGTAAAGTTGTCTTATTATTTATGATCCCTTGGTCTAAATAGAGGGAAGGATCCCCATTCAACCTCTTAGAAGACAAAAAGAAACAGACTGTCTTTACTTCTTGAAAAAATCTTAGATAGTGGGAAGTGGAAGTAACAAGACAGTGACTTATACCCCAAGCCACCAAAGGAAGTTTATAAATTTAACATTTCTCCTGTCTTCTCCCCCCTAGCTGTTTTCAGTGCTCTACCACATCTTGTTAAGGAATGGCCCCTGGCTTCCAGAAGAGGTTTCAGGATCCCCAGATATTTGCAAGTTGAAAGAAGGGAAGGAAATCTTATTTTTATTATTTGGATGTTGGAGAGATTATTACAGAACGAACAGCATGTTTACAGCAAAAAGAGAGCAAGGTAGGATGGGTGTTTCTCCAACCAGCCCAGGGCTCAGCTATGAAGCCAACAAACAAGTCAAAATACTCTTTTTGAGAAGCCAAGTAAAAGCTGGTCCCTTTAACATGATTTTCCGGGTACTCTAATGTGGAGTGTTGAAGAGAAAGATGCAAAATGCATCGATCTGGAAGCATTCTGTTCCCAGATTAATGAATTCTGCATATCCCTGGAACTGAACACATCAAGCATGCAAGCCTACAGCTCAGACACTGTGCTTTACTGTAACGGATTAATTAGGATAAGGAAACAAAGCACTCTTGTCCTTCTGGGTATGTTCAAAATATGCACGCAACATCCAAGTTACCAATGTTATTTTTTTTTTGCAGTCAGAAGGCAGGGGGTTCTACTGAATGATCTCTCTCACCCAAATCAAACAGATATTCCAGTATTACATACCAATAAAGCCTTTCTTTGCTAGTTCTATGGTAAACCGTCTTGTGATTTTTTCCAATTCATTATCCTACAACAACAAAGGAGGCAGTTAATATCCAGGATGTGAGTAATCAACCCCTAAAGTCAACTGTTATGATTTTACCAAAGGTAAAAGAAACCCCAACAGTCTCTGTTCCATCGGCTAGTCTAGGCTCAACCACATTGCAATAATGGGTGAGGCACCATCCCAACCCACTATTTTGGATTCTACATGAACTTTGGAATATAACTGCGGCTATTAATCTTGCCAACCTCTGAACAAGAGTAGGTTGGAGCTGATTTTTGCCATTCGTTCCTAAAGGGCTTGAGCAGAGGAAGAGAGGAGGTAGTTATTCCGCAATTGGACAGCTGTGAGGTCAGGAAAAATACTCTGTCTCTTAGAGGCAGGAAAAAGATGTTCATTCTGCACTAGAATTCTCTCCCTATTCAAGTATGATTGCACCAAGCCTGTTAAGATATACCTTTTCATTCAGGTTTCTGCTTAAACTGGTGCTACAGTGCCTCTACAGTGTCCGATTTGTTACTGCTGTCATATTTTAGCATTTTTAAAGCGTTTGGGATTTTTAACCTTTTTTTAGATTTTTATTTTCTCAGTTAACCTTAACCACATAATGACTTGAACTCCCACTTTAGGATTGCTAGAAACAAGCCAGATGTTTTATAAATAAAACTAAGGATTACAATCTCTTATAGCAATGATTCTGAACCACCCTTTACCTTGTAACCTTGTGACTGGAATAAACCTTTTCATTTAATTCTGCTTATTCTATGAGTTTGTCAGTACACGGCACGTACTTCCCAAGCATATGTTGGGTCGCAAAGTAGTCTCTAGTTTAGAGATTCTAACTTGTACAGAAGGAGAGCACACTAAGTAAACTAGGGTTTTATTGGCATATTGGCCAAAACATGCAAAATTTGACCAGCGCTGTGTCCTTCCTGATAGCAGTGACGTGAGTAGAACTAAAGCCGGTAACCAAGTTATTCTTTTTGTTTTAGAAGAAGGGCAAAAGCCTCAATTGACCAGAATCATGATGGGCAGCAGGGTCAATATTCACAGGCTCATCTGGCAACTGATTTTTTTTTACCTGTGATTTGCATATTATTGCTTATCTGAAAGAGAATCAAGCGATAGGTATGAATGTATGCAATTAATCTCTCCACACTGAGAAAATATAGGGTTCTACTCCATTGTCCTAACTAGCCTATTTTGGCAAGATAGCTCCTTGGATATCTAAGCCTAAACATGCTGATGAAAAGCATATTTTTCTGGAATTTGAACTTACTGTATATAGCCTAGGATTGATCTTAACACCAGCCTTTGCACCACCAAATGGCACATCTGAAAACAAATGTTCATGCTCAAGTTAAAAAAAAAAAAACAAAGGACAAGAATGTAAAGTAAGATGGTAAAGATTTAACTTATCACTAGTTCTGATGCCTGTCTGGTCTTTTCCACTTTGGGAATTAGTCACAAAGATATTAACATAAAATGCAGAAAATGAAAAAACACAGACAATGATTTATTTTAAAATAATTCACCATGCCCTTCAACATAATGAAAAGAGGACAGGTATCCGAGATTGATTCACAATTGGTTTTTTAAAAGAATTATTTACATATAAAATACAGGATATTTCTTTTATATATATTATGTTTAATTAGGTCTGCAAAATGAGAAGATCTGAAGTATGAGATTTATAGCAAATATTGTTATTTGACAAATGTTCATTGCTTATCAGTCTTTAACTTGCACTAGGAATTTTTCTTAAACTCCACAGCATGAAATTCCCAAGAACACCTTCCAGCCCAATTTTACTATCTATAGGTCATAATAAGGTTTCCCCCCACCCAAAAAAATCACGCTACATTTTTATATAGCAAGAAAATTGATAAAGGACATTTAAGGCCTTTTTATTTTAAAAAGAGGAAAAAGGTGAACAGAAACAACAAGACATTCATACACCACTCATACAGGGAAGGCCTTTTCTGGTTTCTACAGGCACCTAAGAGATAAAACAGGGGCACTTTGCCAAGTTCAAAGAGGAGCACCTTATGGGCAAGCCCACACTCTCTAACTGAACTCCAAAGCTCTTGATATACCCAGCAGGTCCTGCTGGAATGATCTAAGTGAACCAGGTCTAATGGCAAAGGGGGATCTGTCAGGGTCTGATCCCATTTCCCAATGACCCTACAAGTCACTGCAAGTCTTTAAACTTGTCTCCGTTGCTCACATCCAGCACAACAGAAGGGCATCAACCAGCCAGGTGTTCCACTCAACAATGTGATACATCCTGAACCAGCTTCTGAAGGAAGATTAACGTAATGAGCTTTTTCCTCAAAGTATGAGTTTATCAGTGGGAAGAACCACAGCTAGGTTGTCCCTAGCTGCAGGAAAGGATGTTGCTGATACATTATCCAAAATTAATAGAAAGCACTCCTGGTCAAAGATCATATGATCTGCAATGATGACCCTATGCGTATCCCCAAACTACCCACCTATTCTTTCTGGGCAAGAACAAAAACACCCCCTTTCCCCCAATTCCTATAGTCAGAACCCAACTTTCCAAAGGCCATCATCCTGTTTGGATTCAGTCTCAGTTTATTGGCCTCATATGCCCTACTGCTTGGTCAAGACACACTTGAGAGATGTTATTAATTGCACTGGCACAGAATAGTACCTTGTGGCATTCCACAGCATAGCTGCCAGAATGCATAGATGGCAACCATTGCTATTCTGAAACTGCTCCTCCAAATAGGAGCAAAAGCATTATAACACAAGCTACTCTAATACTTAACTCACAGAGATGGTCCAGGAAGACAGCAAGAGTTGATGGAACCCAAGCCTTTCGGAGATCAAGCAGGATGAACAGAGCTGCATGCGCTCATTCTCTGTCTCTTTCTCTCCCCCCTACAGAAATCATGTATTTGGATGACTGTAGCTGAATTTGTCCCTTAAACAGGCTTAAAACCAGACTGAAAAAGACCGAGATGCTTTGTGTTTCAGAACACCTGCATCTCCAAGCACTATTTTCTGAAGCACTAAGAAGGTTTATTTGTGACTCATCAGTAGCTGGTGAGGTTCTTTGGATTCAGGCCTTTTTAAGGCCGGTGGTGCTACTCCGCTCAGAGATTAGCAGAACAAGAAATTGTGAGCTCATCTCAAACAGCTAAAATGGACAGGAGTTTTAAAAGCTTGTATTAAGTCAGATTTAAGCATCTTTTCTATGTTTTCTACTGAAAAAGAGCCACACAGTGAGGCTAAATGAAGACTAGAAATGTCTTCCCTGAAATGCCCTAAAATTTGCATAGCAGATCTCTCTACTCCAGGGACATCCTTCACTTTCGAACATACTCTAGCAGTCACACCAAGAAAACAGAAAGGGAAACTTAAAATTCTGAGGAAAACATGGCAATTACTTTACAAGCTCAGCCCACCCACCAAATCTGTGGAGACAAGCCACCTCCCTCATAGGCCATCACTTCAACACCTTCTTGAGCAGCTCACCAGAGCAAGGCTGATCTTCCCACTCCCCAAAACTCCCAACTCTTATATGGGAATAATCCCACACAGCTCATAAACATCCTTCTGAAAAAACCGAAAATCCTGGCTTTAGTGTGATGTGTGAACCCAAGCATTTAGAATTACTTACCAACTACTGCACATTTATATGTCATTAGAGAAGCTAAAGCTTTTACTTCATCAACACTCACTTCCGTGCTGTAACGAATACCTGTTAAGAGAAACATGAACATTAGTGACTGATGCATTGTGTTGCCTGTCAATCAGGAATAAGCCATAAGCACAGAAAGGAACACAACTGTACAAAAAGCAATTACTGGGGTGAGGGTGAATACAATGCAATCTATTTTGCCCAATCTTCTGGTAACAGAAAAAGAGAAGCTAAATTCATAGGTAATTCTATCAGCCCTCATATTTGTGCCACCACACATACCCACAATAGGAGCCATTTTGTTCAAGGATTTTATGCTACTGCATTATCATCTTCACATCTGGTTGTTCAGCAGGAATCCAACCCAACCACAGACCCAATCCCAACTTCATTTCCAAATTCTGTAAATATTTTTTAATCACACCTAATATTATTCACAAGGGCTCAATTTTCCAACATTCTATATGCTGCTTTTGCTCTGGAATACCCAAGTGCAAGCAAACCAGCACTAACAGGCAGATCTGTGCACAGCAAAATACAACATTCAAGCAATAAGGAGAACACTGACAGAATAACACAGACAGTTGAGTTTAAGGAGGCCATCAATGAACGAAGAAATCACAAAGATCAATTTCAATGTCAAAAAGCTGAGCTGAAATATAAAGGTTCAGCTCCTTGAACAGATAAGAATAAAAACATATTTTGGTTTGATTTCTTTTACATTTAAATTTAAGTAAAATCAAATAGTTGAATATGTTACTCTAGTCTTGTATTTTTCTTTTCAGTTATATTAAAAGTTAAACTTAGATAAACTTTGAAATTTTGGGAGACCATACCTAAAATTTCCAGGAGCTGAGGTCTTAAAGTTTTTTTTTTTTAATCCAATTAAATAATGTCTACCAGCTCACTCTCACCCACGTTTATTAATATTGTCAAAGAACTAAGGATCTGCCTTTGCATAAATGTTGATGCTTGTTCAGCAAGACTTATACCCCCATATGATTCATAATCATTAATGGCTTCTACTAACTGATCTGAAACACATGTTAAGTTAAACAGTCCACAATTTTCTGGATTCAACTGCTGAAATATAAGACAGCGTAATAATACAGATGCAGGATTTCTCTGGAATAAATTAACTGTTTACTCTGTGTTCTCTGGTCAATCAAGAATCTGCTTATGAAAAAGAGATGAATTACTTTAATGCTCACGTGCCTGCAGCATACATCACCATCTTGCAAAGTCTGCTCTGGAGGAAGCTATCGCTTCCTCATTTCAGCTGCTGGGAAGCACATTAATCTGGGCAGCCTGCTTCCAGCCCTCTTACTGAGCATTACCTAATCCTCCGCAACCAAGCAAGGCAGCAAGTTCACAGCCAGTCTCGTTTAACAATTAAAATTTACCAAGTTGGAGCCATAAGGCATTTAAACATTCATTGATGCTGCAAATGCTATCAACCCACTTAAAAGCAATGGCAGGTCACTGAACTCTTGACAACATCACGGAAGTTCCCCAAGAACTAAAAAGAAAGAGAAAATGAATGTACTCCACTTGACAGGAATCAAGGATTGTCAGACTTAAGGCTATAAACTAAGAAACTATTCTTGAATGTAATGGAGACTTTGATTATGCACAAGAAAAAAAATAGTTAGAAAATATATTATTGAAATAGTACTATACTTGTAACTGGGAATAAATAGCAACAACTTTGAAAAAAATTAGGGATCCATACACACGCACACACATCCTTTACTCTGCTTTAAATCTAGAAAACTGTTCCACCACCACTCAGGCTGATGATGTTACCTAGTTGCATAACGAAACATTTGCAAGCAAACAACCAAGCTCAGAGAGCACCAAGAACTCGAGCTCAACCCTGAGCTACACTTATTCTCTTGTAATGCCAAGTATTTCTTTCCAGAGGCTCATGGTATTGTTACTGAGGATCCAGTGCTAGTATATTTTCCTAACCAAATTTATTGCAATTGCCTTTTGTTTTAAGAAACTGAAGAAAACAACTGTTAGAAATGCAAGAAAAACTACACCAAAGTTAGCAATATCATGCCCAGCAGAGGCAAATCTTCACTTTGACAAAATCCTCAGATGATACGCTTTTCTGTTATAAAAGCCTCCTACTACAAAATGACTCATAACTATGGGTAAACTTTCCACTGGAACAAGATGTTGTTTGTTAAGGATTTTCCTTTCCCGGCACGCCCGAAAAAGAAAGTTAACTTACTAAGACATCAAAGTTTGCAGAGAACAGATTCACCTCCTTTGTATTGAAGCAGCAGTGAAAAATCACTAAAGGATCCTCAAAGAAGTTAAATTTGTAAGCTTTTAACTTTCTTCTGGAAAAGACAGACTTAAGGGTAAAGCTGCACACACACACAATTTAGCAGCTGTTTACAAACTGCAATAATTCAGTTTATGAATGATGGTGATACAAAAACACAAGGAACCAAAGGTCTTACCTATCAGTATTAGCAATCCAAACAATTCACTAGTAGAGGAACTAACTTTAGCCCCTTAAATAAAGCTTATATGATAGAATACTTTCATATTTTATAGCTCAGAACAGAGACATCTGCATGGGGTCATAAAGCACAGGCTTCAGGATATCCCTGGAAAATCCTTCCTCTTCTGCCACAAAATATCAATAGAGGACATGTGTCTTGCTGCCACATTTTCATCACTAGATACCTTTAAACAGGGCTGCTACTGGAAGTTAGACCCCAGGTCCTTCTGAGCCAAGTCCGGACTTGGATGAGGGGAGGGGAGGGGAGGGGAGGGGAGGGAAACTGAACATCTGGAACTTAGGCAAGAAGCCTTCACGGGTTGCACAGATTCCCTTTCTTACGGAGGCAGCTGGGTTTAACAAGAACAGCTTTGGAGATTTTAATTGTTTAGCAACACATTAATTGTGGAATTGGAAGCAAGCACCAGTTCAGTTATTTGTGCACTACTCAAGAGGAAAGGACTTTCACCATTAGGAAGCTAATAGGGATTTTAAAAACCAATTAAGGGTGTTTGCAGACAGAGATGACATAAAACACCCATTATAACTGGGCTTAAGGCTCT